TAACGTTTTGTTAGTTGGACACTATTTGTAAGGTGATATAATAATTTCAGTAATAATTACCGTAACTTAAGTATGCAAATACGGTACCTACACCCGTTTTAGTAACCCAACAACAAAAGATTAAAAAAATCGTGCCCTCCCTACGATCCATGAGCCATTACGTTTTACCTTTAAGGCTGCCGATGAGTGCGGAGGTGTCTGAGCTGAGTGCTTTCTTTAATCCTTCTCTTCGTACTGCTATTATTGTCTGAGTATATTATTACTCCCTTAGTAATTTGTTAACCCATCTCCGAACTTATTTTCAAAATTATAAGTATTGGCATATGTTTATTTCGACAGTTTTTCCGGCCGTGTTTTCCTCCACGTGTTCGAGTGTGTGACCATGCATCTCGCTTTTCGGATTTTCGTGAAGTTGTAATTGGTTTTTGGCTGATTCGTCTGCTGTTTTTTACGACCGTTTTCTTATTGCAGTCTTGCTGCGTTTGTTAAGCTTTGTAATCTCGATTGTAGTGTTTTGATTATAAGAAAATTTCATTGCCCTGTTTTTCCATTGTTTACGATTTTTATTGTTTCAACAATGGATAGTGCCGGGTTACGTCTTTGTTTGTATACTGAGTATACTGCCATGGTTCCCATGCCTGTCTGGCGAACTTTCTGCCGGAAGAGGGATTTGTCCTCTTCTTTCAGTAGGAGAAGTAAGCTTTCTAAGTCTTCCGCCTCTGGTTCTGAACCGGTGGGTGTTTAAAGCATTCCTGCTGGGGGTGCTCTCGTCACATCGAGCTCCGCCCTTGAGCAGGGGGTGGTCTCCCCATCCAGGCGCGCCCTGCCTGGAGGAAGGGGGGGGGGGGAGAGAGAGACAGCCTGACCATGACTCTGTGCAGTCCAGCGATGTTACCATTTGGTAGGGACTTCCGACTGCTGGTCACCGATTCGTTCAGTGATCCTGGCGCACCAGGTGGTGGGTGTTGTTGGTGTGGGCCGCCTTGACTTCGGACCAGGGTTGTCTGTGGCTACGGGGATTAGTGATGAGAGTTCACTTATCCTTGTGTCATTGCAGGGCCTGTCTTCCTGCCCTCACAGGTTGCTGGTTCTGGTCCTCTCCGGTCCTGCTACTTCGGGGCCTTGTTCGCCGGTCCTAAGAAGGTTTGCCGGCCCTTTAGGACCTGTTGGTCTCTAAGTACCAGTGGTCTGCTTTTGGTCTTAAACCCAAGCCTACAGCCATGGCTGTTAGGCGCTCTGCATCTAACGTTGTATGGAAGAGCCTCACTCTCTGGAGTTGGCTCCTCTGGTGTCCCTTGTTCCTCCCACAGAGACTTCGGTCCCTATCGAGGAGGAGCTGGATTTTGATGGCCCCAAGTCTGCTAAAGCTGAGAGTCAGCATGCTCTTTCCAGGATGCGGGCCCTCCGGGCCGATGTCTCCCATATTCTTAAGGGGGAGGTTTGCCCACCATCTTCGGCATCGTCGATTCCAGAGTCCACCACCCTTTTAGGTTCCCTGGTGGCCCCTTGGTCATCCATTCGGTCAGATCAGTCTCTACCATAAGGCACTCTATTGTCTTCCGCTCTGGCCACTGCCTGGGCTTGGGTTATGGAGAAGAATTCTCACGAAGAAGGTCTCGCGTCCTGTGTGCCCTCGCCGTCTACATTCTTCTTCTCTGCCAGGAGATACAGTTGACCATCGTGTTCTAGCCTGTTCTTGGCATGATGAACGGGTTAGTGGACACACTTTCCAGGCGCTGCCAACTGGTGTTGACGGAATGGCAGCTGTGTCCTTTCTCTTGACTGGCAGGTGATGTTTGCATATACATTTCCTCCCTTCAGTCTGGTGGGCAGGGTGATACAGAAGTTCTGGAACATCACTGCTCCTTACTTCTGATAGTCCCTCTGTAGCCGATTCAACCTTGGTTTCCGGAGCTTTTGTTGTTTCTGGTAGAGGAGTCCCTGGCTCTCCCTGCCAGACCGAATCTCCTTCGCCAGTCTCGGTCCAGAATGACACACTCTCGACCAGAGATCCTCGACCTTCATGCGTGGAGGCTATCTCTGGAAGCCTCACCAAGGTGGGCTTTTCTTGAGAGGTGTCAGATCGCATCGTGCGATCAATCAGGGCTTCCTCTTCTGCTGTCTACCAGTCACATTGGTGGATCTTCTGTGATAGGTGTGTCGGTAGGGAGTTTGATCTGTTCGAAGCCTCTGTGCAGTTGATTGCGGACTTCCTACTCTCTCTGTTTAGGGACCACAATCTGGCACCTGGCACTATTGCTGGCTATCATACAGCTATTGCCAGTGTCCTTGCTTTTTATGGCAGGAAAGAGTTAGGTTCGTCCTCCATTCTTTCTGCCCTTATCAGAGGCTTCGCTCTGGATAGACCTAGAGTTCAGCAGCTGGCCCCACATTGGAATATGGCCATGGTGCTAGATTCCATGACTAGGGCTCCTTACGAGCCTATGGAGTCTGCCTCGTTAAAGTTTGTTACTTTTCAAGGCAGTCTTCCTTTTGGCTTTGGCCTCTGGACATAGGAGGATTGAAGTCCACGCCTTGTCGTTGCTCCCTTATTGTCTACGTTAGTCCAGAGGCTACACTGAATCAGGTCCTGGGCTTCTCGCCCGATCCCTCGCCCTCGCTGCATCCTGGGCCCTTTTCAATCGGTCCTCCTTTTTGGAGGTCATGTCTGCAGTATTCTGGCGGGGCAGGGATACCTTCACAGATTTTTATCTGCGATTCCTAACTTCCCACTCAGAAGGCTTGTATTTGTTGGTACAGCGATACGTGGGTACACCTGCTCTTACATGAGGAGGTCCCTTCCTATTCTTTGGCACTCTGTTTCCCATCCCTACTACTTTGGCTGTGCTGGATGAACTGCCTGGCTTCTAGTCACCACTACGGTAAGATGAATTCTCATAATAAAGTTATGGTAATTAATACTGAAATGAAACTGAGGTTTTTTCATGCAAAACCAATTTTCATGAGGTAATACTTACCATAACTTCATAGAGTCCCACCCTATCCTCCCCTCTTACTTATCTGCCTGGCTGCCCCTCTATAGGGTGCTTCATGAAGGTTATTAGAAGAAGGGAGATTGCTCTATGTTCTTGCCATGATGGCTCGTGGATTGTAGGGAGGGCAGAATTTTTTTAAAATTTTGACTTTGGGGTACAAAGATGGGTGTAGGTACTGTATTTGCACACTAAAGTTATGGTAAGTATTACCATATAAAAATTGGTTTTACATGAAAAAACCTAAAGTCTCACCTAATTTCATTTTGTTAAGTATGGTAGATTGATACTCATGTTTTATTTACAGGTCTTTAAACAAATTGACTAGTGTTTGGTATTGTAATTCTTGGTGGAACAAATTTTGATCATTTTTGAAATCTGTTCCACAGGAATTTCTATAATAGAAACATCAAACAGAATTAGAAAAAAAAAAAAAAACTGACATAATAGATTTAAATCAAGCAGACAAAAACTAAGTCCTGCGCTTCAAATGATGATCAGCATTACTGTGTTACAAATCCTAGTATTATCTATAGTTGTTACTGAAAATGTGATGACAATACAATGGATATTCCTTGTATTAATGAAACTAATGGAAGTTATACCCTGTCCACTACTACTGTTAGTCCCCCACTACTACTGTTACTCCACCACTACTCCCCCACTACTATGTTACTCCCCCACTACTACTGTTACTCCCCCACTACTACTGTTACTCCCCACTACTACTGTTACTCCCCCTCTACTACTGTTACTCCCCCACTACTACTGTTACTCCCCCACTACTACTGTTACTCCCCACTACTACTGTTACTCCCTACTACTACTGTTACTCCCCCCACTACTACTGTTACTCCCCCCACTACTACTGTTACTCCCCCACTACTACTGTTACTCCCCCACTACTACTGTTACTCCCCCACTACTACTGTTACTCCCCCACTACTACTGTTACTCCCCCACTACTACTGTTACTCCCCCCTACTACTGTTACTCCCCCCACTACTACTGTTACTCCCCCACTACTACTGTTACTCCCCCCTACTACTGTTACTCCCCCACTACTACTGTTACTCCCCCACTACTACTGTTACTCCCCACTACTACTGTTACTCCCCCTCTACTACTGTTACTCCCCCACTACTACTGTTACTCCCCCACTACTACTGTTACTCCCCCACTACTACTGTTACTACCCCACTACTACTGTTACTCCCCCACTACTACTGTTACTCCCCACTACTACTGTTACTCCCCCACTACTACTGTTACTACCCCACTACTACTGTTACTCCCCCACTACTACTGTTACTCCCCCACTACTACTGTTACTCCCCACTACTGCTGTTACTACCCCACTACTACTGTTACTACCCCACTACTACTGTTATTCCCCACTATTACTGTTACTCCCCACTACTGCTGTTACTCCCCCACTAGTACTGTTACTCCCCACTACTACAGTTACTCCCCCACTACTACTGTTACTCCCCACTATTACTGTTACTCCCCCACTACTACTGTTACTCCCCCACTACTACTGTTACTCCCCACTACTACTGTTACTCCCTACTACCACTGTTACTCCCCACTACTCCCCTACTAGTACTGTTACTCCCCACTACTGCTGTTTCTACGCCCCCACTACTACTGTTACCCCTGTCCACTACTGCCCTTAGTATAACAGTCATAGTTTCTTAATACAAACCTTTGCAGATCTTCATATTATTATTATTTTTCTGTCAATTGAAAAGATTGTAAATGATTCCACAACAATTCCTATGGTCACACATATCTGAATTTAACTGAAGTATCATCAGTTTTTGAATTCAAAGAAATCAATGATACAGGCCAGACAAACCTGGTGTTATCTTTTTAATTTGTAAATATGTATGCAGCAGAATGTATATTAATAGTGATAACTATAAAACATGAAATGCAGTGTGTATGGTTTCTGTTGACAGCTTGGTGTTCTCTTGGTGCATGTTTTGTGTTTGATTTCCTCAGCATCCAGTTACTTGGCAGACGTCTGCTGATGGAGCGAAACGGATTGGTCACATGATATTGAAGAAAACGGTTTTGGAAGGTACGGGAAAAGACGACTCTGGTGCAATTTTGGGTGAGTAGACAGGCCCCGGGGTAGGGAAATATTTGGTCAGGGTGGGGCTCTCATTTGAGAACAAAATGATGTTCCTCATATGTTACTATAAATAGACTTATTGCACTTGTACTCAACCACTCATTGCTCATCTGTTTGTAAGAAGGAGGCAGCTCTTATTAAAGGGGAGTAACTCCATAAACATAATTACCAATGGTTTTTGAAAAGCTTTTCATAGTTGAACTTTAATAAATTTTTCATTCTATATATACATGGATATGAGAAAATTGACATTGCTTTCATAACCCATTTTGATAAGGGAAAACCTTATTTAGATTAAATTTTTTTCCCATGGAAACCCCTTTGATATGATATAAAAAAATGTTATACATATTTGAAATCAGCAACCATTAATATATACGCTTTTAATGATTATCATCAACCAATTAATCTCCATCATGATTTAAAACACGTTAGTAAGAAGATATAACTTTTAATGGTTTCTTGGTTAAAGAAGCATGACTTATTCTAATATATTCTTGATTTTGCATGAAAGTTTTTCTTTTTATAACTGTATGCATAATACACCAATAAAGATCAGTAAGGGTTACCTGTTATGTTTTTGTAAAAACCATTATATCCATATGACAGTAAATTATTGATTTAAATGTTAAAATCTTAAGATAAATGCTAATACAAGGTAATGTCTGGCTTGATTACAGGAGTATGATTAGTGTACATTGTTAGGATGTGAAATTAAAGGTGTGAATTAATGCTTGGGTGTGTACAAGGTAGCACAAGTCTATTGAGAAAGTAATTTACTTTGACAAATATACAGTTCTGCTTCAGTATATAATGGCTAGCTACAGGGTCGTCTAAATTTTAATGTGATAAAAAATGCACATTATTTGATGATGTATTGCACATCAGTAGTTGAACAGTTGCACACATTTTGATGATGTATTGCACAAAATTATTACTTTTAAAATATGATGTTGGATATATTGTAGATATCCATGTGCATGACTATTTACACTAATAACACTTTTTTAACGTAAAAATTGTTTCAGGTCTGATGAGTTTAAGAGTGAAATGCCAAGAGTAGGATATCATCCATGATGTTGTTTATGTCTATGACTTGAGAACTCCTAATTAATTATATTGTGTATCTTACAAGAAAAGTCTGGATGAGTAAATATTTAAGTGTTTTGATAATTAATTCAAAACTTGTGACATGAAATTAAGCTTACTGATTTTTTTTTAATTTTTGGGAGTCTATAAATTCTATTTTGAGGTCTGAAATTATTTAGCCCACTCAAAATAAAATTTTCTAAGCTGACAACATTTTTGTCAGCGGGAGGTCTTATTATGCTTTTTCCAAGTGATTATACTTTGATCTCTCAATCATTCTTAAACCTCAGGCGTCAAAATGGAGGCAATGTGAAGAACATATGAAGACAGCAATATTGCACCACTTCTGTCAGAACATGCAGTTGATACCCAGTATTGCTTTTAGTCAACATAAATTTTAACCAATCATTTGCTGCCCAATTTGGAAAGTCGACAGGAATGGACCTGGTCTAATGGCAACCCATTTGTCAGGAAATTTTGGCATCTTTAAAAAAATGTTTAAATATATAATGTTGTAGATCTACTGGCTTATTACAAATTATGTTTCCAGAAAGCTCAGAGAAGTATAGCAATACAAATTACAACATATTTCTTCATAGCCCAGTTGATTTTTTATTTTTGTTTTTTGTGACTTATTTACTTTTCATTGTGTGATTGATATATGTCAATTTTCGTTGTGTTTCATTTTCATGGTTTTAAAACCACAAAACATCTGTTGAATGACATGAAGTAGTATCCCATCTAATGCACTTTCCCTTTAGTTATTTTCAATGACCTTTTTACATTATACAAATTTATTTTTCTGCTAAACCTTACAGATGTACTCCTCTGAGATTTAAAAAAGATTTAGGATTAAACTTTGTTCTGGTGACAATTTTTTTTGAAAGGCTAGATTTCAGAATGTTATTCAAAAGTGAAAAATCAATATGTTGGAGGACTTCAATCCAATACAGACATCAGAATATATGTAACTTTCTTTGTTCATTTTCATGGCAACCATTTTTAAAATAGATTTTTGTCTTTCATTGAAAGGTAATATATGATATTTGGAAATAAAGAATAAAATATATGCATATACTAAATTTTCAATTGGTTTAATGAATTTACACCTGCATAGCAACCAAGGATTTTTTTTTTGTTTTTCAAAAAGACTTCAATCCTTTATCTAACTGACTACCACTATTTCATGTTTTTGAAGACAGCGTTATTTCAAACATGTTTTATTGCCATAATTATCAACAATGGTGTTGGGTACAAGTTATAATAACATTATTTAAGCCCTTTTCCAAAACCAAAATACCAAAAACAGCATTTGGCTAACAAGTGGGTCACAAATTTGTAATCACATACCTACTGGAATAACAAAGTCTTACTCAGTCTACAACAAGTCTTACTCTGTCTACAACAGAACCTGTTATAACAAAGTCTTACTCTGTCTACAACAGAACCTGTTATAGCAAAGTCTTACTCTGTCTACAACAGAACCTGTTATAACAAAGTCTTACTCTGTCTACAACAGAACCTGTTATAACAAAGTCTTATTCTGTCTACAACAGAACCTGTTATAACAAAGTCTTACTCTGTCTACAACAGAACCTGTTATAACAAAGTCTTATTCTGTCTACAACAAGTCTTACTCAGTCTACAACAAGTCTTACTCTGTCTACAACAAGTCTTACTCTGTCTACAGCAGAACCTGTTATAACAAAGTCTTACTCTGTCTACAACAGAACCTGTTATAACAAAGTCTTACTCTGTCTACAACAGAACCTGTTATAACAAAGTCTTATTCTGTCTACAACAGGACCTGTTATAACAAAGTCTTACTCTGTCTACAACAAGTCTTACTCAGTCTACAACAAGTCTTACTCTGTCTACAACAAGTCTTACTCAGTCTACAACAAGTCTTACTCTGTCTACAACAGAACCTGTTATAACAAAGTCTTACTCTGTCTACAACAGAACCTGTTATAACAAAGTCTTACTCTGTCTACAATAAGTCTTACTCTGTCTACAACAGAACCTGTTATAACAAAGTCTTACTCTGTCTACAACAGAACCTGTTATAACAAAGTCTTACTCTGTCTACAACAGAACCTGTTATAACAAAGTCTTACTCTGTCTACAACAGAACCTGTTATAACAAAGTCTTACTCTGTCTACAACAAAGCCTGTTATAACAAAGTCTTACTCTGTCTACAACAGAACCTGTTATAACAAAGTCTTACTCTGTCTACAACAGAACCTGTTATAACAAAGTCTTACTCTGTCTACAACAGAACCTGTTATAACAAAGTCTTACTCTGTCTACAACAGAACCTGTTATAACAAAGTCTTACTCTGTCTACAACAGAACCTGTTATAACAAAGTCTTACTCTGTCTACAACAAAGCCTTCTATAACAAAGTCTTACTCTGTCTACAACAGAACCTGTTATAACAAAGTCTTACTCTGTCTACAACAAGTCTTACTCAGTCTACAACAAGTCTTACTCTGTCTACAACAGAACCTGTTATAACAAAGTCTTACTCTGTCTACAACAGAACCTGTTATAACAAAGTCTTACTCTGTCTACAACAGAACCTGTTATAACAAAGTCTTACTCTGTCTACAACAGAACCTGTTATAACAAAGTCTTACTCTGTCTACAACAAGTCTTACTCTGTCTACAACAGAACCTGTTATAACAAAGTCTTACTCTGTCTACAACAGAACCTGTTATAGCAAAGTCTTACTCTGTCTACAACAGGACCTGTTATAGCAAAGTCTTACTCTGTCTACAACAGAACCTGTTATAACAAAGTCTTATTCTGTCTTATTCTGTCTACAACAGAACCTGTTATAACAAAGTCTTACTCTGTCTACAACAGAACCTGTTATAACAAAGTCTTACTCTGTCTACAACAGAACCTGTTATAACAAAGTCTTACTCTGTCTACAACAGAACCTGTTATAGAACCTGTTATAACAAAGTCTTACTCTGTCTACAACAGAACCTGTTCTAACAAAGTCTTACTCTGTCTACAACAGAACCTGTTATAAGAAATTCTTCCTCTCTCTATGACAAAATCTGATATTAGAAAGTCTTCCTTTATCTACAACAAAATCTGTTGCTAACAAAGTCTTACTCTCTCTCCAACCAAATTTGTTTGAAGTAATGATCAAGGAGAGTGTTGTGAAGATCTGTTCATAACCACATGACTTTGTAATATTTGATGTTAAAGTATAATTTATGATTATTTGTAACAATTTGTGTTTTGTTCGCCATTGATGTAATGACAATTAGATGTAAATGAAAACTATATTTTAGATGCTGATGTTAGAGTTAGTTTTAATCTCTATTGTATACGTACCAGTATTACCATATTTATCAAGCTATAAGCCCAGATGACTGACATATTTTTGTCCTTGACTCTAAGTAGGGGAGCGGGCTTATTACAGGACAACAAATAAATTTGCTGAAATGTAACTAACACTGATTTAGAAGTGGATGGGTTTATTTCCAGTCATGGGCTTATTGCTATTGAAATATGGTACATTTCAATACAGGCACCTGCTAACTTTTAACAGGTGTATTTGATTTAGAGAGCTTTAATTTTACTGAATGTTCAGTAGCTCCCTGAACATATCGGCCTGTTATAAACATGTCAGGATAGGTCCAAATACACTTGTTCTAAGTTCTCAGGTGTCTGTGTTTTATGTATGTATTCAATTGATGTGTGCATGGGACAAGATGAAGTACGTGTACAAGTATCATATGGCGTTGCCCTGATTAGAATAATATCTCTTTTGTTTTTACAGGTTTAAAGATAGTTGGTGGACAGGGAACTGAACAAGGGCAATTTGGTGCTTTCATAACAAAAGTCAAAAAGGGTAGCATAGCTGATACAGTGGGTCATCTCCGCCCAGGTTAGCGCTGTGGCCATCTGAAAATGGGTCAAATAATCCTTTCATCTCTGTTCATCCATGGTCTTTTCTTTCTTCTTTTCATCTACCCAGATTTCCTGCTATTGGTCCTTTTAAAATTCATATAAAAAATCCTGAAATCAATTTCCTTACATTATAGGTTAAAGAAAATCTAAAGATTTTAAAAATTCTGAAATCAATATCCTTAAATTATAGGTTAAAGAAAATCTAAAGATTTTAAAAATCCTGGAATCAATATCCTAAAGTTATAGGTCAAAGAAAATCTAAAGATTTTAAAAATCCTGAAATCCTATACTCTAACATTCAAGATTCTAAAATGTCTTTAGGGCATGACTTATGATTCAATGGTCATGGTGAAAATAACCCTGTATGCTGGGAAACAATTTTGGTATGGCGAATGATTTGGTATTTATCAGTTTCATAGTAAAAAATATTAGATTCAAGATAAAAATCAGTAAATAAAAAGAAATGTAAAAAAAATAGATAAGTAAATTAGTAGCGATGCTATAGATAAACATACTTGTAGATATACCTATGGAAAATAAAGTAAATACATTTCTAGGGTAATTAGGATACAGGTGCCTGATCATTGATATATATGTACTGCTAAACACAAATTCTGCTGATATCAGTTGGAAACTGCATTTGGATGAATCAATTTCATTTTATTTAGTGTTGCAGTAATTATATTTGTTTTTTATTTTTAAATTCTATATCTTTCATCATACAATTAGTGCTACTACTTTTCTGCAAGAAGGAAGCAACAACAAGGTGTGGACTTCACTCCTGCCTTGAAAGTAATGAACCTTAACGAGGCCAACTCCAAAGGCTCAAAAGGAGTCCTAGTCCGGGGATCTAGCACCAAGGCCAGATTCCAATGTGGGGCTAGCTGCCGAACTCTGGATCTATCTAGAGTGAAGCCTCTGATTAGGGCAGAAGGGGAGAAGAACGAACCTATCTCTTTCCTGCTGTAAAAAGAGAAGGACACTGGCAATAGCAGCATGATAACTGGCTATAGTGCCAGGTGCAAGATTGCGGTCCCTAAACAAAAAGAGTAGGAAGTTTGCTGGTATTGGCCTAGGCGCCCAAGGATGCAGGCACCTGTATACCAAGAGCCTGGAGGAAACAAAGACCAGAAACCAGACGCCTGGCCTGCAAACCCAGCCCCTCTGTGGGCCTTAAGTCCCTGCCTAAAGGTAAAACTGCTGGGAAACAGGAACTCCTGGCCAATTTGACCCTGGATTGCGCTGAGAAAAAAACGGCTGAAAAATTGGCACAAATAAACATAAAAAATTTCACAAAAGACAATATAATTGAGAGATTGGCTTTGTAAAGATAAAACTGAGTGATATAAAATAATCCGGCAGCAATACAAAAAAGGTAGAATGAAGGAAGTCAAGAACTCAGCTTGGACATTGTCTGTTCTCGCTGGTGCCATAAAGGGAAGAAGACAGGAAATCACTCTGTGTCTCTGCCGTGATGGTTCATATGATCGTAGGGAGGGCAGGATTTTTTAATCTTTTGTGTTTGGGATACAAAGATGGATGTAGGTACATGTATCAAATTTACAAACGAAAGTTATGGTAATTAATACTGAAATGAAATTTCCATTCAAATGACTTCTTCTCAATAACCAAAAGGCCGAGAGTTCTGATATTGGGCCTGAAGCATAATCGGATGAAGGGCTACCCAGGGCTAGCTCTGGCTTTTAATTTTGATTTGCCAAAATCTGTAAATTCTGAAAACTGGTTATGGTTTCATTTGGCAGAATTTGTTTCAAGCAACAAAATTGCTGGTTGATTCTTCATACCCCATCCCTACCCATTTGGTACAATAAGTAATTGATACAGGACCAGCAGGATCAAGGTCCTGACATTGGGGTTGCAGCATGCCTGGAGGAAGGGCTACCAAGTTTTGTAAAACAAATGATCTTGACCCACTTTCAATCTTTATTTCTTTATTATCTTAATTTCTGTTGAAATCTTTAAAAGGCCTAGGGTGCTGATATTAGTTCTGTAGCATACATGTCGGGATGAAAGACTACCAAGTTTGTTTTATTAATGTGATTTATCTTGACCCAGCTTCAAAATCACAGGTGTCAAATATCAAGTTTATTGAAATGAATGACCTTGACTGTTTTAAGCTTGCCTGGCCTGAAAATGTTGAGTGAAGTTATCCCATGACGCAGTGCCATTGTTGACCATTTAATGTGCATCTTCCAACATCCCTATTCCATTCATGAGGTGTAAATGTTTCAATTTTCTTGACATCTTTTCAAAAAACAACAGAGCAAATGTTATGGTATTTGGTTGGTTGGTTGACCTATATTCAAGATCAGAAAGGATGAATTTGTTTAAACATTTAAACAATTTCTTTTGACTAACCAAAAGGTGCACAAGCATGGTATTTGGCCGACATATTCCTAAGATGAAGCCCAAAAATGGCTGTGAAAAGAAATGATGTTGACTCATATTCAAGGTCACCGGGGTCAAATTTGTTACAACAAACTACTTCTCATTAACCAAAATGTGCAGAAGCATGATATTTGACTAATAACTTGGTTGCTAGGATTAAGTCAGACAATGTTTGCAAAAAAGACATGACATTGACCCTTTATCAAGGCTGCATGGATAAAAGTTGTTTAAGCATTAAACCAATTTTGTATTTGTTGAAAGCTTTAAACAAGTCACCAAAAGAAATAGAAATTTAGCATTTGGCTGAGATGTACTTAGTATGAGGCATGACCGAATTGTGAAAAGAAATGACATTGACCCTTAATCACGGTCACAGGAGTCAGATTTGTTTTAGATTTTAAAATGACTTCTTCTCACTTACCAGAAGACATAGAAGTATGGTATTTGGCTGATAGGTTCCTAGGATGAAGTCAAACAAAGTTTATGACAGGAAATAATGATGAACTATATTCAAGGTCACAGGGTCAAATTTGTTGAAATATTTAATCTTTTCTTCTTAGGAACAAAAAATTGCAGAAGCATCACGTATTTGGCTGACAGGTTTTGAGGATGAAGCCAGCCATTGTTTGCAAAAAGAAATAACCTTGACCCATATTCAAGGTTACAGATGTCAAATATATTAAGACCTCATGCACAGAAATATGATATTTGCCTGATAGGTTGCAAAAAGTAAGGCTAGTTAAGTCTGCGAAAACACATGACCTTACCCTTAATCGAGGTCACAGGAATCAAAAATGTTAAAACATTAAATCATCTTCTGACTAGCCAAAAGGTGCATAAGTATGTCATTTGGCTGATGGGTTCCTAGGATGGAAATTGAGAAAGATGTGAGAAGAAATGGCATTGACCCATGTATAAGGTAACGGGGTTGAATTAGTTAAAACATCATACAACTTTTACTGACTAAGGAAAAGACACAGAGGCATGGTATTTGGCTTATAAATTCTTAGGATGATGCCAAACAAAGGTTATGAAAAGGAGTGATCTTGATCTTTATTCAAGATTATAGAGGTTGAATTTATGAAAAACTTATATACCTCCTTCTATCTAACCCAAAGCTGCAGAAGCATGATATTTGACTGACAGGTTGCATGGATGGTGCCAGACAACGTTTACCAAAAAATGACCTTGACCCATACTGAAGGTCACAGGAATTAAATTTTTTGCAGCCTGTAAAAGAATGACCTTGACCCATACTGAAGGTCACAGGAATTAAATTTGTTGCAACCTGTAAAAGAATGACCTTGACCCATACTGAAGGTCACAGGAATCTAATGGTCAAAGGGAATATCAACACCTATTTGTCATACCTAATTTTCACCACCTTTCTCAATTATAGTTTTTATCTTTGATTTATGTCCTATGTTTGTGATATAACTTATGTAATATTTTGTGTCTTGGTACATGGGCAGATTTGACAGTTTTCTTTATGGTACTGTTGTTATCACTTCATTGATCATATATCTACTCCAGTAATACGAATCCAATGAACATTTGTTTGTTAGGATCCAGTACCAATATCAGACCATACAGTCAAAATTACTTACTAGATATTTAAAAGTAAAAAATTTGCTATGTCCAGTACACATCAAAAATATAATGAAGTTGGAAACACTTTTAAATATATTCATATTCAACCATATGTATTTTAAAACCCCTATCTTAAAAAAATAATTTACTGAAAAACTATACAGGGATTTTAGAAAAGGGATATTGAAATCGATGTCAAGGTCCTGAGGATATTATGTATTTATAAGTAAACCAGGGTCTAATACATTTACTATGCATTTGTTAGGTAAATAAAAGAATTTAAATCAAATACTTCGTTTAAGACATATCAGATATAATCACCTACTCAAATCCTGAAAAATTCTGGAGATCCCTGCTATTTGATAATGCTGTTTTTCAAAATGTAGTCCCTGCAATTTCAAGGTCGGGATCATAAAGTGTTACCCTTGTTCCTCATTCTGTCATTCCTTCATAATTCTCTTTTTGCTCATATTTACATTTTTGGTTGGGGCATTTTGGTCGATGCTCCGACACATCAAGGAAGAAATCCTTCACAGAATACATTTATACATATCATAGAATATCACACGATATTATTCTAGATGCTGTAAGGATATGAAAACATGTCTTATTAATATATATTCTCTGACTACCTCTGTGTTAATATTGGTATAATCATAACCATAAAGATGCCTATATTTAGACTTCTCATTAACACAGGAGTGTTTATATTTAGTCCATTTCATTGATTCCTTTGTCCTCCTATCATACCATTGTGCATGCTCATCTTCAATCATTGAAATACTTATGACTTTTTGAAGAATTAAATGAAAGCTGTTTGTTGATGAACTTTGCCCTACAACCTTTGACAGGTGATGAGGTGATTGAGTGGAATGGGCGTGGCCTTCAGAGGGCTACCTTTGAAGAGGTCAAGGACATAATTCTAGAATCAAAACAGGAACCACAAGTTGAACTTATTGTACATAGAAGTGTTAGGTGAGTTATCAAGGAGTTATTGCCCTTTGGTTCTGTTTACACCAAATTATTACTGGTTGTCAGGAACTTATGATTGTTGTCCTCAAACTACATACGTGTACCACTGATTCCATAAGGAATCCAAATTTTGTTTGGAAACAACTTAATACAACTTTATTTTTCTTTCCTTTGTAGCACAGGAGAAATTCCACCCGGTGTGCAGCCAACAGTAGATCATCAACATGGTCGTGATAGTCATAGCAATCGTGACTACACCCATAATAGAGACCACAGAGACCACCGTGACCGTGACCGTGATCGTGACCGTGACCATAGAGAAAGAGGTAAGTGATCTAAACAGGGTCAAGGGTAGGTAGATCAGATGCCATCAGAGAGGTTATGTTATGTGAACTGAGTTCAAAGATCACCATAGAGACAAAGGAATAGTCATGTAGGTTAAGTGTCATCATGGAGACAGAGGCACTATATTTACCATGGGAAAAAGCCAAGCTGACATCAAAATAGGGGTGTGGCTTAATGCAAAACAATTTGTTTGAGTGATTTGTATTGATGTGAGTGAACTTACTCTCAGAAATGGCATTGCAGATAAACTGACAAAGCTCATCCTTAAATGTTTCCTTCTGTATCAATTATAAGGAAAAATAAGAAAGAAAATTACTATATGATAATTATATTTTAAAAAGCAAGGAAAAATGGTGTATTTCAACATAGATAACTTTTGACGACAGTCATTATTACTTGTTATGTGTATTAAATGGCAGTCATTATCATGCGTTGAGTTGCATTTTACAGAATTGAATTTAGTATATTAAAAACCAAGTTCTTAACTTTACCTTTCTTGGTAGTTTCAATATTTTGCAATCATTGCAGCTTTTTCTAATGAACTGTTAACTTTATCTTCAGTATGAGGGAGGGCAGCTTAAGTGATATGACTTCTATGTTTTTGACCTTATTATGAATTGATTTTTTTTCAGATTATCGACATAATAACGAAACACTAAGTACGGGTCACCACTCTAGTCGACCAAGTGTGATGGTAACTTCACCTGGTTCCTCTGTAGAACCACGCTCACGTGCCAGTTCACCTCCAATTTCAGGGAAAATACAGGTTGGGTGTTCAGTCCCTTTTTTATTTCTTTAGTGTTTATAGCTTATGAAAATAAAGAAGAATTGCAGGCATTTTACATTGTTTAATAAAGTCAGAATTGCTAACTGTTCAATCAAATGTAATGTCATCTGTCTGTGATTAGTACTGTTTGTGTTTTGTGTTTGATCGTGCACTGTCCATCAAATTTTTCTCAATGTTAAATAATATTTAAATAACATTATTTTAATGTAAAAGTTTTAATGTTAAACTCAGGTGAAACAAGCACATACATTATTGTGATTTTAGATAACTCATTTTAAAGATAAAATAATTTTACAAAAACATTAAATTTTTTTAAATGTCTTTTTAATGTTAATATAATGTTGAAAATGTTTTAATGTTATTTCAATGTTGAAATATCTGAAGTAGGAAAAAAAATTAATATAGAAACAATGTTGTGTAACATTGAAATAACATTTTTCTAATATTTGAATTGCTTCAGGTAAATAAAATATAAGAATTTAAATGTTAGTACAATGTTGAAGTGTTATTATCACCTAAAAACTTGAATGTATTTTCATATAGGTTCATATTGCATGATATCATTTCAAATGAATTCATGAACTGTGTTCAATAATTTTTCAGCTAAAATGAAAATTTTCTGAAATGTTTCAGAAATCTTAAATGAAATGGAAACAATTAATATACTTTAAAATCTTAAACGATCTTCCATTTTATCTAAAGTCATATTAGATCTTGATAATATATTGTTATAACGTGAAAAAAAACCCTTATATTTCATTAACAGTGATTTCATAAAACAGAAATGTTCTACAAGAACATTTAGCTTTCGATATACCTGAGGCGCCAATATGTTAATTGTGACATCCTGACCCCTTCATTATGACATATATAATATACTGCCTATGATGTGTGGATACCTATACTTATTTTCATTTCAGTAATAATTACCATAACTTTAGTATGCATATATGGTACCTACTCCCATCTTTGTATTCCAAAAGCAAAAGCTTTAAAAAATCCCGCCCTCCCTACGATCCATGAGCCATCATGGCAGAGACAAAGAGTGATCTCCCTTTCCTCGTTCCTTTATGACACCAATGTGACCTGTCAGTTGAGTCCTGATATTTGTTTTCCGTTCACCGTATTGTTTCGTTTTCTGAGTTATCATTTTGCTAAGTCACCTTTATATTTGCCCATCTTCTCCTTATGTGTCTATTTTGACCTTTATTTCTATTATTTGTAACATATTTTCGGCTTTTTTTATTTCTCTACTTGTCCGAGTCCATGAGCATGTGTGCTGCCATTTTGGTTTTTACTGAAGGTAATTTTTGTTGCTGTTTTGTTGACTTTGATGGTGGCCTTTTTTTGCTTGGTTCGGCTATGTTGGTTTCCTTTGTTTTCTTTGCATTTTTAGGTCATCTTGACCCTTTGGGTCAAGATGACCTATAGCCATCGTGCTTCGTCCGTCGTCGTCCGCCGTGCGCCGTCCGCCGTGCGTAAACCTTTCATTCAAACAACTTCTTCTCAAATCCTAGAAGGTCTAGGGGGCTAATACTTGGCACAGAGCATACTGGCATGAAGTTTGTTCAAATGAATGACCTTGACCCACTTTAAAGGTCACAGGGGTCAAATATCTTGTATCTAATGTCAGATGACCGTTAAGGCCCATGGGCCTCTTGTTGTGTAAGTTTTGAGTTAAGTTTTTGATATTACTTTGTTACAATTTTTCATATTTGTCATAAGTATGTCTAGGGCAGGTTTGTTTCAGGTTATGGCTCATAACTGCTCCCATTTCTTTGAGGAATGGGACAGCATGATGCTTGTTCTCTGTGTCCTCCTTATGGAGAAGTCTCACGTTAACCAATGTCCCCTAGCCTGTTTGGCGAGCCTCCTCGGGTCATAAGAGGGATTTGTCCTCTTCTTCCAGCAGGAGAAGCAAGCCTTCTAGGTCTTCTGCTGCCGGTTCTGAACCGGTCGTCAACTTAGCTGTCCTTGTCTGGAGAGTTCTCATGTCCTCAAGTTCCTCCCTAAAGCAGGAAATGATCCTTCCTGTCCAGGCGCTTCCTGGAGTAAGGAGGGGACAGGCCGACCCTGGGTCAGTGCAGTCCAGACTCGAATTGGCTGGGAGTTCCTGTTTTCCTTTGGGTCTGCCTCTGGGTAGGGACTTCAGCCGCCGGTCACTGATTCTTTCAGTGATCCTGGCACACCATGTGGTGCTGTTGGTGGGGGCTGCCATAATGCCAGACCTGTCCTTTCAAGTTCAGGTCCCATGGTTACAGTCTTTCTATCAGGGTTGTCTGTTTCCATTTGGAAAAGTGACTCTCAGATCCCTAATCCTGGTGTCAATGCGGAGCCATCTTTTCTGCCTTCTCAGATTCCTGGTCCTTGTCTTTTCTGGTCCAGGTTCTCTGTGCAGAGGTGCCCAGGGGGTTTCCTCCAAGGGGACTGGGTTTTTGGCTAGGAGATTGATTTCCAGTCTCCTTTTCCCCCTTGATCTGGAATATATGGGTGCCTGCGGGCATCCATCCCTGAGCGGCCTTAACCAGCCTGTGGATGGTTTTGGGTTCCAGCAGCATCCCAACAGTTAGGGGCCTAACACATACATGTCTTGGTTTCCACCTGCCGGAAGTGTTGGTCCATCTTTGTCTTTTGGACAAGGCGGCCAGCCCCAGACAGGCCAGTGCCTTGCAAGGGTCAGTGCCTCCCAAGAAAAAGGCAAAATCTTCGACTGCCCAACTTTCTGTGCTTCAATGGCAGCAAGGGGAAGGGTAGGAAGGGTAAGAACCCTCCTGGGGGCAAGAAGAAGGGTTCCTGACTCTTTCACCTCCTTGGCCATGGCAGACAAAGAGCTTGGCCGCCTTGACAACAGTCCTCCCATCTCAAGCTCTTGTCCCTCTCCTGCAGGATTAGGCTCTGGGTGGGCAGACAATACTCATGTCTGGCAGGGTCTCTATCTGCCTCATCCGGAACTTTGCAAGGGACAGTGTCTCTCTGGTTTCTTAAGCAATGGTGGAAAATCAAGTAAGACGATTGGACTCTGTCTGTGGTCGGGGAGGACCGGTTTATGCTCCAGAAAGTTTCTGGTTCAGAAGAAGTCCCGGGCATGGCGTATGATCTTAGATTGTGCTCCATAAAGGGTTTTTGAGGAAGGGAGATCACTCTATGTCTATGCCATGATGGATCATGGGATTGTAGGGAGGGCGGGATTTTATAATCTTTTGTTTTGGATACAAAGATGGATGTAGGTACCATATATTCATACTAAAGTTATGGTAAGTATTACATCATGAAAACTGGTTTCCCCATAAGCGGAAATAAGACAATATTTTACTTCAAAATGCTTTGCCTTTTTAATGCTTGAATGGATTACAACCAAATTTGATTTCAAACATCTTTGATAGCAGACAATTATTTCTTAAATTCAGGAAGTTGATTCAACCCCAAATGAGGAAGTTAGACAATAATTTGCTTCAAAATTCTCCTCTTTCTTAATACTTGAATGCATTTCAACCAAATTTGGTCTGAAACGTCATTGATAGTGAGCAATCATATCTGAAATTCAGAGAGTTGATTTGACCCCAAGGGACTTTGGGATGGAGCCCCAAATGGGGAAATTAGTCGATGTTTTGCTTCAAAACACTACCTCTCTTTAATGCTTGTTGATTCGTTGATTGTTGAATCAACTTTTGAACATTGAATCGACCCTTAGGGGCCTGAGGGTGGACATAATGGAAACGGAAACAAATAGCAAACCTGAAAGCCATCCTCATGCTTTGTATTTATGAATCAGGACATCCTGGTGATAATTTGAGTACGTGATGTAATATTCAATCCTCTAACATTGGATATATTTACTGAATTGCGTTTCAATCATGTGATAAATCAATGTAGCTGATACACCAAGTGAAACAGTCCTAGAGCATAAAATAATGGAATTGTCACAGGGCAGAAACATCTTCCTTCCAATTATCATTTACTCCTGAAGGAAGGAGTTGGTCACATGACTTTTACTCCTGAAGGAAGGAGTTGGTCACATGACTTTTACTCCTGAAGGAAGGAGTTGGTCACATGACTTTTACTCCTGAAGGAAGGAGTTGGTAACATGATAAGAGTAGTGAGAAAAAATGCATGGATATCCCAGGATTATCCACAGTTAAAGTTTCTTACTTTGAGTATTTAATCTTAAAATTTATTTTCAGGTGAAGATATGGTATAACTCAAAAGGCCATGAGTTGATAATTACTATCATCAGTGCTCTGGACCTCCCACTGACTGACCAAGGCAAATTCCGCAACCCCTATTGCAAATTGTATCTTCTTCCAGACCGCAGGTATTTATACATTGTCTAATATCACTTTTCTCAATAACAATCACATTAACATGTATGAATTGTTGATTCTAATACTTGTGTAACTTAATGCATGAACTGGGTGAAAGAAAGTCAAAGTAACAGTAAGATGGTGTGATATATAACACAGTATGGGGTCTGTAATAGTTAATCACCACACAGTCTTAGACACTTAACTTTATAATGCTAATATAGTTATTCAGAACACAATCTTAAGATATTTTACAGTATAATGTCTGGTAGAGTTAGTCAGAACACAATCTAAGATATTTTACAGTATAATGTCTGGTATAGTTAGTCAGAACACAATCTTAAGATATTTTACAGTATCAGAACACAATCTAAGATATTTTACGGTATAATGTTCTGGTAGAGTTAGTCAGCACACAATCTAAGATATTTTACAGTATAATGTCTGGTAGAGTTAGTCAGCACACAATCTAAGATATTTTACAGTATAATGTCTGATAGAGTTAGTCAGAACACAATCTAAGATATTTTACAGTATAATGTCTGGTAGAGTTAGTCAGAACACAATCTAAGATATTTTACAGTATAATGTCTGGTACAGTTAGTCAGCACACAATCTAAGATATTTTACAGTATCAGCACACAATCTAAGATATTTTACAGTATAATGTCTGGTATAGTTAGTCAGAACACAATCTAAGATATTTTACAGTATAATATCTGGTAGAGTTAGTCAGAACACAATCTAAGATATTTTACAGTATAATGTCTGGTAGAGTTAGTCAGAACACAATCTAAGATATTTTACAGTATAATGTCTGGTAGAGTTAGTCAGCACACAATCTAAGATATTTTACAGTATAATGTCTGGTATAGTTAGTCAGAACACAATCTAAGATATTTTACAGTATAATGTCTGGTAGAGTTAGTCAGAACACAATCTAAGATATTTTACAGTATAATGTCTGGTAGAGTTAGTCAGAACACAATCTAAGATATTTTACAGTATAATGTCTGGTATAGTTAGTCAGAACACAATCTAAGATATTTTACAGTGTTATGTCTGGTAGAGTTAGTCAGCACACAATCTAAGATATTTTACAGTATAATGTCTGGTATAGTTAGTCAGCACACAATCTAAGATATTTTACAGTATAATATCTGGTAGAGTTAGTCAGAACACAATCTAAGATATTTTACAGTATAATGTCTGATTACAATCTCTAAATCCTAAATCAGCTCTGATAACAGTCTCTATAGCAGTTCTGATAACAGTCTTTATAAGAGCTCTGATAACAATCTCTATAACTGCTCTGATAACAGTCTCTATAACAGCTCTGATTACAGTGTCTATAACAGCTCTGCTAACAGTCTCTATAACAGCTCCTCTAACAGTCTCTATAACAGCTGTGATAACATTCTCTATAACAGCTCTGCTAACAGTCTCTATAACAGCTCTGATAACATTCTCTATAACAGCTGTGATAACATTCTCTATAACAGCTCTGATAACAGTCTCTGTAACAGCTCTGATTACAGTCTCTATAACAGCTCTGCTAACAGTCTCTATAACAGCTCTGATTACAGTCTCTATAACAGCTCCTCTAACAGTCTCTATAACAGCTCTGCTTACAGTCTCTATAACAGCTCTGATAACATTCTCTATAACAGCTCTGATAACAGCTCTGATAACAGTCTCTGTAACAGCTCTGATAACAGTCTCTATAACAGCTCTGATAACATTCTCTATAACAGCTCTGATAACATTCTCTATAACAGCTCTGATAACAGTCTCTGTAACAGCTCTGATAACAGTCTCTATAACAGCTCTGATAACATTCTTTATAACAGCTCTGATAACATTCTTTATAACAGCTCTGATAACATTCTCTATAACAGTTCTGATAACAGTCTCTATAACAGCTCTGGTAACAGTCTCTATAACAGCTCTGATTACAGTCTTTATAACAGCTCCTCTAACAGTCTCCATAACAGCTCTGCTAACAGTCTCTATAACAGTCCTGATAACATTCTCTATAACAGCTCTGATTACAGTCTCTATAACAGCTCTGATAACATTCTCTATAACAGCTCTGATAACATTCTTTATAACAGATCTGATAACATTCTCTATAACAGTTCTGATAACAGTCTCTGTAACAGTTCTGATAACAGTCTTTGTTACAGTTCTAATAACAGTCTGTATAACAGCTCTGATAACATTCTTTATAACAGTTCTGATAACAGTCTCTATAACAGCTCTGATAACAGTCGCTGAAACTGCCTTGAAAACAGTCATTAAAACTGCCCTGATAATGCTCTCTGGCCATAATACTGAGGTATTGAGACTCAGAGCTTAAAACAAAATGTTTGTTTAGTAAAAGGTAACACTAGATTAGTGTTGATAGAGTAAAGAAATCCACCAGTTAGCATTCTTTTTCATACCAGGATTTTCCTACTTTAGAATAAACTTTTATGTACAATTCTCCACAAGTTTTTGACCTAGATTTCTTTGGCATTAATTAAACCAGGTTTTTAATTTTGCTGAATGGTATTAAAACAAATATATTTGAAATTGTTAGAAATGTTTTATACTTCTTTCTCAGATATAAATACATTTTTGTTGATTTTAAGAATTTAGCTTGTTAAAGAAAAGAAAGAAATGAATGACAACCCTGGTAAATTGCATTACATACAAAGTGTTAACATTTACATGTAGGAAAAGTTTAGTAACAAAGATACAGTTCATTGCTTAAATATAGAATTTAATAGGAGTTGAACCATTATTTATTGGTATTTTCCTCAAGTGGGAATGATCAAATTTTGCCCAATTTTGGTCTGAATTATTCTTGGGTGAGGGGGAATCATATCTTTATAAATAGTTTATCCTAAGCCCCTAGGATGGGAGGGATGGGGGTTTAATCTAAAGCATTTTTTGTATGAAAAATGAATCTGACTTCTGCCATTAGCCAGGTGAGCGATGAAGGATCCTTGTGCCTGTTGTTTTGTTGATGAAGCCTAATTCTCAATACACATTATCACACTTAATAAAGCTTGAGATCGTGCTTTTTCAGGACAGTAATCTCTTTGTCAAGCTGGACACTCAATTGTCTGTTAGAAAATGGGAATAATTATTCAATAGCTACACCAATGCTGAGACCATATCCTCTTCAGGCTATATCTCTCAGTCTGGTCAAACATGCTGGTGTCTGTTTACACCAGTGCTGCTTTGAATTTCCTGGAATATTCCTCTTTTGCCAAAGTCAGGAATGCTGAGTCTCTTGTAAAATTAAATAACGGTATATTTATCTCAATCACATGAAATAAAAGGGAACAGATTAACTACTTTATCCCACATTTAAAAAGTAAGGGAGGTTTGTATATAGTTGACTGATAATATGGACTGAAAATTAAATGGAAAACTAGTACAGTTATGACTAATTAGAAAACTAGTATAGTGATGATTAATTAGAAAACTAGTATAGTTACGACTAATTAGAAAACTAGTATAGCTATGACTAATTAGAAAACTAGTATAGTGATGACTAATTAGAAAACTAGTATAGTGATGACTAATTAGAAAACTAGTATAGTTATGACTAATTAGAAAACTAGTATAGTTATGACTAATTAGAAAACTAGTATAGTTATGACTAATTAGAAAACTAGTATAGTGATGACGACTAATTAGAAAACTAGTATAGTGATGACGACTAATTAGAAAACTAGTATAGTTATGACTAATTAGAAAACTAGTATAGTTATGACTAATTAGAAAACTAGTATAGTTATGACTAATTAGAAAACTAGTATAGTTATGACTAATTAGAAAACTAGTATAGTGATGACGACTAATTAGAAAACTAGTATAGTTATGACTAATTAGAAAACTAGTATAGTTATGACTAATTAGAAAACTAGTATAGTTATGACTAATTAGAAAACTAGTATAGCTATGACTAATTAGAAAACTAGTATAGTTATGACTAATTAGAAAACTAGTACAGTTATGACTAAGTAGTGATCATAGGTGTATCAATTTTTTATTTTTTATTATGAATTAAAGGTAATTTTAATTTGAAAGTCTTCAAAATATCACAGGACCATGGGTTAATTCATCTTTCTAGCATATAATTTCACACTGCAGGGAGCGGTGATTGGTTGCCTCAAGCAACAAAAATTACCTTGTATATGAGTGCATACATGACAGATTAGAATCTGAATAGTGTAGGATTGATGTCGGAAACACAACACTTAAAAATCACCTGCGTATATATTTTTGTTCATAGAATGATAGATAAAAAAGAGTAATACAGAGATAATGAAAATGAAATTTCCTCGCTGGCGGTATGAGATTTTAGACGATTTATTGCCGCGATGAAAAGAGATGTCCCTAAATATTTACATGTATAATATATATCTAACATGTTTAGCACTTTGTAAACAAAACTAAATGTTTACATATATAATATATTTCTAACATGTATAGCACTTTGTAAACAAAACTTTCTAAGTAACAAGTGTATATAACTTGTCAGTCTGTACCTGATAGATCTGTATGTGTCTAACCTATAGATATATGACTTGATTGGGTGATATAGTGAGCTGTACTCTTATACAGATGTATATTCAGAAAGTAAATAAACCCAGTTTCATAGTTATCTGTCAGCCATTTGTAAATTTGATATGAACCATGATAAAACCATGTCTGTGTGATAGAACTGCACAACATGCACACAGATGTGCAAAAGTTAAAAAATATTTCGTCTGTTTCAAACAATTGATAGCCCATAGCACATTGTGTAACCTTGTTTGATATCACAACTGTACAACCTGACCAGGGAAACATAACACTCTTAAGATGAAAGCACGATTATTACATTTGCTTTGTATGGCAATGAGAAATAAAGCAATTTTTTATTTCAGTAATAATTACCATAACTTTAGTATGCAATTATGGTACCTACACCCATCTTTGTATCCCAAAAAACAAAAGTCCTCCCTACAATACA